GCTGTTCGTTTGTGCCTTCTTGCAATACACTCCCAGTTCCATGTCTCTAACTGTCTTACTGGTGATCAAAACATATAGGAAAGATAAATGTTTTATAGCTATCATTTCCATGATAAATTTGATCATGAGGTGATGCGAGTTCAGATGGGTTAGAATCCACATAATAAAGTTGTTGGTTTCCACCTACTCTTCCTTAACACTTTTTCCTCAAACATTTCCATATAGAAGTTGGTGACTACCGGGGACAAAGGTGATCCTATGGCTGCCGCAAGGCTAGTTGAGTTTCTGGAGATGATCATACACGGTATCTTTAACTGATACTCGGGTAAATTGAGATTCCACGTCGCAACTTACCGGGATATCCTGGGGATCTAACTTAACGCTTTTGATTAATTCCTGAAAATGCAAAGAGTCTCTGACATATGATTCTGTTTTTCCTGTAAAAGGATACAGAATCTTGACAAGGTGTTTCGTCAGCTGATAAGTTGGAGGTAAGTCAGTTTATTTTCTATTCCTGTGTTTATTTTTTTCCGTTGTTGTCTATTTCAATCCCTAGGGTCTTAAAAGCTTTTATTTTATTTCATAGTCGTATCTTCGATGACTACTTGTTAGTTTTTCATTACTACCTATCACCATCACTTTTAAACGGTGATTAAGTTCATTTTAATCTCCAGCTATAATGACCACGTTATCCGCGAAAGTACCTTCCAAAATTTAGAAAATATTTCCACTGCACGCATATTTTTATAAAGCTAAGAAGGAACGTACGTCTTTACCTCTCTTTTACACTTCTTCACTATTTCATCCATATACACCTTGTCCAAGGCTTTCGTTGTCACAAATTATTTCCACTTTTTATAGACAAGTTTTTATAGATTACTGTATTAGTATTAATATCATATACATATCACTTTTGTAATCTTCGGAATTTTCTTTTTAATTCCTGTTCTCTGTAATATTTCCCGCTGCACCATGTCGAACGCTATTTCCATATAGATGAAACCTAGATAAACTTTTCCTTTTTGTAGATTATTTTCTATTACTTGTTTAATTGTGAACATATGGTCCTATCTATTGTGGATCCTTAATATATTTTGAGGATCCTTAAGGTATATTCTTAAATATTTTTCTCTCTATGATCAATTAGAGTTATATCAAATTTTTGCTTTTTACCTTATTCCTCTCCTCTATAACTCCTGTTACGAGTATTTTGAACATTTCTAATTTCTTTTGTGTGCAATTACAATCTATATGTATATTGATTTCTCTACAGCAAAACTTCTAATGATGATAATTCTGTGGATCCACTCTATCTCACCAATGGCGGTGAAAGATCTTGTGCTCTAGTCAACTTCTCGGTATCTTATAACCTCGGGGCGCAGATTCAACTCACAATAGTGTACATTAAATTGATTGTGGAGCAAACCTACTAGACCGTCCTATATATAAATGGCGTTTATTGTTTTTTAATGTCTGCGATGTTGATGGGCTTGCGTCACACGTTGATGATTTATTTCTAAGGATTTTCTGGAAACCGTTAATTAAATACTTCCTCTTCGGCTTCCATACGTTCAACATGGTCTCTCCATTCCGATATTCTTTTACGGATCTATTTCACAGTGTCCAGAATAATAACAAATTAACGATATAGTTTAATTATTTTGATAATATAAGTAAATACTTGACATACCTCTTTAATTACCATTTTTATTATAAAAATGAATAAGGAAACAATTAGTATATCGAAACATATACAAGTATTTAATTTATTCATTCAGAATCATTAAAACGTATTTCATAGAAATGGATAAAGAAATAATTTCAAAATGTTTTAATGGCTTCATAATGTTTAATTCACGATCAATAAAGTACATTAAGAATAATTACTTTAAAAGTAACCAGGCCAACTTATTTTTCTAATAGTTATTTCAAATTCATTTCGCGTTTTACCACAGATAGAAGAAGATGTATATTAAAACTATAGGTTTTCTTGAAATTGAAAGTTTTCTTAATAAAAATCATGTATCTCCTTTTACAGCACCTTATAAAAATGCGTTCATTTTACTTCTTATTTTATTTTTAATGTGGACTATTTATCCTATCATACAAAAATTGAATGGTAAGTTTTTATGAAATAATGTTAATATTTTAAAATACGTTAATATTTTTTAAGATCCTCGAATAGGTTTCTCATCATATTTACTGGATATCTTTGTCTTTTTAATGCATACCAACTTTTTATTGGGAGCTTTGTCATTTACTAATGACAGAGGGAAATTGATAATTCTAATAAATAATTTGAGCAATTTTAATCGTTTTGGAATTCCAACGGAGCTCCGCTTTGTCGACAATTTTATTAAAAACGGTTTCAAGTATACCCGTTATGTTTCATACGGATATATAGTTGTTTGGAATATATTATTATTAAGGAAGAATTGTTTCAATAACAATCCGCATACTTGTTATTTGCTTTTTAATTATTACATTCCGTATAAACTACAACCATGGTTAGAAGGATTTTTGGTTGTACGAGAAATGTTTTTATGCGCAGCAACTTTCAAGTTTGTTATAGGAGGAGTAGGTTTCATTGTGTATGCGTTTGAATTGATTATAATTCGTTTAAGACATATTACAATGTTAGTAAATCAAATTAAATTTGAAATTGGGGACAAGAAAAGTTTAAAACTTCGTAGTATTATGATGTATCATCAAGAGGTTTGTGGACTATTTCATATTTGTTGCAATGTTTTTGGAAAGGTAATTGTACTACAACGATTTTGTACTGTTGGTTTAATTGTTTTAAATGCCTCTGTGTTTGCTTTGGTTAGTATTTAGATATGTTTCATCTAAAACTTTTATTTATTGTTTATCATTTATTTTTAAGCAATACTACATGTTCATTTGTTACTTATTGATCGGAAGCCTGTTAATATTGGCGATATGCAACACAGTTGGACAACGTATTATTGATGCGGTAATTATAAAATATCTTATTACAAAAAAGAAATTAATCGATTTAATTATAGAATAATTCTTTAGCTGAAGCTATTTATAATATGAATTGGTATGATGCCGATGTTAAACTTAAAAGGGACATATTGATTTTCCTATTGTTAAGTCAACGAACTTTTAACATCAAATTCGGGGTTTTGGGTAGTGTATCCTATTCAGCAATGACTGAGGTAAAACGTTTACAAAAGAAATATTAAAAAAATAAGATAATTTTTTTATAGGATCTTAACAAGTGTTACGCTTGGTTTAGGACAATTTCTACTTTAATTTCACAAAAGAAGTATTAATAATTATTGGAAATATTAATATTTAAAAAAAAGATGTAAACTCATCGAATCAATTTTACTGTTGTAATGATGTAATTTTTCAGTTAAGAACACCACTAAATATTTATCGTAGAATATTTAAAAAAAATAAAGCATTAAAAATTTTTGTGAAAGAATTAATAAATAATTTATTATTTAAAGTTATTTATTTATTATTGAATTTAATTTTATTTATTTTTTAATTTATTTACGAATGTGTCTATGCACTTTTTAAATAAATAGAAATACACTCTTAAATCTTCTTGACAGTAATACCACCTTTGCAAAGTTTCCTCCATCATACGACATAATACATCAGAATCAATGGTTCACCAGTTTTTTTGTTAATTTATCTGATGATGTACACAGTACGCGTCATATGTAACCCCCCTGTTTAATTTGAAAACGGTTAGAGATATCGTCTTTTCAGTTTGTTTAATTGTGTATTTTTTATTCGATAAAAATGACATAGGTGTAAACAAAGGAGAAATTAAACTGTATCAGTCGACAGCAAAGAAAATTATTGAATTGGCATCAAAAACAGTCATCCAGTGTACGAAAAGTAATTAAAAGCGTGATTGCTCATTTTTAATATACCTATAGTTCACAAGCACATTATTATATCGACATAAACAGCAGACGAATCTATGCGGGGAGGACAACATCAACAGCGCATCTTCCGGAATTTGTGAATTCGCATAGCAAAAACTTTTCTAGTGACAACTTGATCAAAGATCCACATTAGACTCCTGATCATGTAGAACGTTTCTCATCTAGTCCAGATAACGACGAACCTTCTGTGACACCTCCGCTAGCTAGCAATATTCCACAGTAAAGCAGTCTAAGTAATTTGTCCTCAAGAATTTTCTCTCGAACATATCCTTGCAAACTATGCTGTGTTAGCTAATATATTTGTCCTTCGAATCTCTGCCAAGACTTGTTAGTTCTACTCCGAAGTGACTATACACTTTTACAGGCTCAATTTGGTCATCCGTTCTTTCATTGCTTTGTATGTTTGCTCGGCATCTTTCATAGTTCGCTCATAATGTTAAAATCAGTTGCCAGTTGCACGGTTCTATTGACCAGTCGAGGTTAAATAATGTTGAAGCTGTGCGATGACAGATATTTCTGTTACTTGATTTTGTCGATTCTTTCTTTTGCTTCTAAATCTTTCTCCCCAAAACTGCGTTTTAACTTAATACATATTCTTGTGCTTACTGGGTAGAAGTCTAAAATATTGGATTTGATTTTGTTATCCACAATAAATGCTACAACGTGTTATTTCACTCCTGCTTCCTTGCAGCTGTATAGCACGGTATGTGTTTTGATATCTCTAATATCTCTAATCTTTTAACTAATTTCTTTCCTGAACAGCTATTATTACCATATAATACCTTTGTAAAGCTTCAAACAGTACTATTTATGCTCCCGATTTATTTAGTGTACTCACAGGTATGTTGAGTGGAACTGTTCCATAAATATCGTGTGCTTCATTAGGGGAGAGTGGGATAATTGCGAGCACTTAAGGGAAAATTGAAATAAAACAAAACTTGATAAAATAAGTATGAAGGCTTTTACGACTGGTGCTAATTAAACTAAAACTAGAACTATCGCCAGAACTGACACTAGATCTAGAACTAGAAACTTTCGGGTTAAGCCGTGCGTCTTTTGAAAAAATGTTTGACGTATCGGATGCCATGTTGCAACCTTCTTCAGAAACAAGTTCGACATTGAACTTCTGAAATGCATTCTCTAGTGTTAGTTCTAGTGATAGTTTAAACAACCTAATAAAGTTACGAATGTTGCTTAGTACTGAGACTTTACTTAAACTAATCAATCTTAAGTTCTCCTAAACAACGCAGATAAATTTTCAATATAAATCAAATATTAATAAAAAAACAAAACCTTGGTATCCGTAATTACCCTACAGCACGTGGGGTGTCACAAATAAATCCTCTACTCTAGATGTACTTTCACCACTCCTACAGTTTTCGTGGGCCCATAAATTAGATTTGCAGCATTTTATCCAGTCTTCACTTGGAGGATCCTCATACTTTTCATCACAAATTAGGCAATAATATCCTTCCTCCTTCGCATCTCCTTCATTGGCCTTTTTTCTTCCGTGGTATATCCTTCCTTTGTCTTAATGTTATCATCTGCAAATGCAAGATTCTTCACACCTTTCTCACCTATAGTGGAACTTACAGTTTCTTCACTCCCTTTCATGTGCTCATTATTTTCCTCCTCGTTTTTTTTTCTAAAATATCTTTCATAGGACTACTGGTTATTATATCTACTGGCTATCTGCATGTAAAGTGGCGTACCAATGATGCCTGATGCTTCACCTGATTACGCCACTTTGCAAATTTCCAATACGATTTTCAGGTAGTGATGTCGCATCTACGAAATGTTCATCAAATTTGGTTGTATCTATTGGCCAAATACCAGCTGCCCGATATTGAAAGCGACAACAATATTATTCCATTTTGGCGATAAAACAGATAGCAAGCAAGGCTAACATGACTATCATAATTAACCAGAATAAGTACAGTTGGCTCTGCAACGACTTAGCATAGGAGATAAAGTGGTGTAACCAATCTACGAATAGGTTCTCGTTGATCCAACCCGAATCGATAACGGCTGCTATCATATCAGCGTTGCCTCCACGCTATAATTGGGCATTCATACGCTTCCTCTTAAAAATAAAACACGGAGCTATATATTTTCCTGAAGCACTAAATGCGCAAACAATTGTTGTTGTCGTGCCTCATTCACTACTCGTTGTCATACCGACTTGTTTCTGGCCTTTTGGTGCTAAAATTCTTTCTAGTTTTCATTATCATATGTCTATTGATTTTATGCATTTGTCCCAACTCTATAAGCATTTCATTATAGAAATTTCGGTTTAAAAGTTCTTCGATCAGGTATTCCGTGGTGTTACGTAACTACCTATGGTAATCTTATCTCCAATAAAAACTTGTATTAAACTTGATCCACTGTTATTAACTTCATCGTAATTTTCTTTTGGCAGTCTTGAGTTCTAGAAAAATTCTAAGTCTCGACAGTCCTCAATGGATTAAAACCCACTATTCACACTACTCAATACCATTTCCTCAATATATAGTAATCTTAATTTTATCTAAGCTTGATATGTGACGATTGGACATTGACACCAATACATCCCTTGACAGTACCGCTACTGATTGTGAACCGGACTATAAAATAATCTTATATTACATGAATATGATTATTAGAAAAATCTGAATTATGACAGTCCATATGTTATTAAAGCTAGAAACTTAAATATAAAGGATATTGCATCAATTCAAACTTGGAAAAATGAAGAATATTTGAATAATTGGTAAGGCGAAAAAAGTAATTGCAATAAAATACGTGGAACAGATGGATTATTGTATCCTCCGTTTAATAATAAAGAAACTAGATTTGAAGTCTATAATCCAGATATCTGTAGAGTTGAAACATTTCAAACAAAATATAATTCATCTTTTCAAGATATGGATTCTAATGTTGCTAGGAGTAATTTAAATGTATTCTCCAATGAAAATAATGAAGAATGTTATTGTACGAAAGCAACAAAAGCTCCTTCTGGGATTTGGAGATATGTTAACATGCATGAGTAAGATTCTTTTCATTTAGGTATTTTATAAATTACTTTCTTGTATATTTAAGATTATAGATTTATAACATCATTCCCTCATTTCCTTGATGCGGATGTTGAAAATGAAATTATAGGATTAACTCCAACTGAAGAATTATATGGATCATCTATTACGATCGAACCAGTATGATATTAACCCTGTCAAACTTACGCTACAGATTTTATTTTTTAGACTACAAGATGATATTAGAAGCAAATAAACGAATACAATACAACATGGTTGTTCGACCTGTACAAGACATTGCTATAACACAAAACGTAATCTCAATGATTATGCCGATTCTTTGATCTGAAGAGGTTGTATTATTAATTATTATTAAGTTTGTTTTATATTTTTTTTATATGTTTTATATTTTTTATATTTTTATATCAGAGTGTTAAATTACCTGATGATTTGGTAGAAAAACTGAAAAATGATTTTTTAAGCAAGCTGAAAGAAGTAGATGAGGAAAAAGATGATAATTCAGGTGTTGGAGTTGTTTTAAAACCACAATATTATCTTGTGTTTTGTATTTACGGATTGTTTATGCTACACTAATTCATTTACTCAGTTGTATACTATATTAATCTAGTATTTTAATATTGCTAATAATTTTTAATCGGGTGATACTGAAAATTAATTAACTAGGTATCACCGTCATTACAAGTGTTTCACATCAAAACCTGTCACAACCTAAATAAAATTATCAAATGAATAAGTATTTTTTTGTTATCTCTACCGAAAGGAACACAAAGCAACGGCGCAATTATAATGTAAAATTGTGTTGTGTTGCATCGTCAAATACAGCTGCGCTTTCATCAATTATTTCTTATCTATCGTTCGTGCTATCTATTAATTTTCAATTTTTTGAAAATCGTATCGGAAATTGTATTGTATTTCTTTATGAAGCCTATAAAGAGTTCAACTACAGGTTTTGTTGTAGTTACGTTCGTAAAAATTTCGTATTGTTATGGAAAATGAGGAAATCTGAAAATAAATTACTTTTATATTGGGCGATTGCCGGTGTTTTTATTGCAATCATTGGAATTCTTTTAGGATTGGTTTTATTGCCCTTTATTATTGATGACCAAATTAACAAGGTAATTAAATTTTTAATTATTATTTTGAATTAATTGTTAAAATTAATAATTAATGTACTAATTTTCGTATTGATCAAAGTTCACATACTACGATTATCTTTTCGATTATTTACTTAATTGTTATTATCTTGAATGATAAAATTAGAATCTCTTTTGGGTATCTTTTTGTTGCCCATCTGTAAAAATACACATTACAACAAGTTCTTTATTTAGAATGTGTTTCATTCATTCATAACATAATTTTGCTTAATTTTTTATAGCAACTAAGGATATCGTATGGAAGTGATGCCTATGAAAGATGGAGAGAGCTACCGATAACGGTTGATTTTAAAATTTATATCTTTGAAGTAGAAAATTGGCGAGATGTAGCTTTGAATGGAGCTCGCCCACATGTAAAAGAAATTGGGCCATATATCTATAAGTAATATAGTTTAAGAAGTATTGATTTTTTGTATATATTGATTTTTTATAGAATGTTTAGGAAAAAATATAACATATCGTACGACGAATCTGAAGATTCATGGACTTACACCCAATATTACCATTTCGAATTTGATCGTGAAAGAACCGATTCTAAATTAAGTGAAGATGACGAATTGAATGCGCTAAATGCAATTGCAAATGTAATAATAAATATATAAATCTTTGAAATGTTCCCCAAAAACAAAAGTGTTTTAGGTATTCTTCCAAATAGCCAATAGATATCTTCCAGAATACCTACTCAAAATACTAGTAGATAAATATTGGAAATATTTGGTTCCAGATACTTTAGAAGACACCATTTTCCATAGAGTCCGTGTTGGCGATATTCTGTTCGATGGTTATACATTTTGTGAACCGAAAAATTGGAGTGGGGTAATTGGGATAATGTGTATAGTTGCTGCATTATTAGACGTGCCATTCATTAGCTTGCAAGATGATTATTCTTTAAAGTTTTCTTATTTTGATTTTGTATGAAAACATTTCTTGTAACATAAATTATTAATAATTTATTCATTTCATTATAGAAACAAGATAAACACGATGGTATATTTACTGTAATCGGTGGTAATAATGATATTTCAAAATTGGGATGGATTACACAATGGAATGGATACGTATACAATGAAATATGGGGTGAAAGATTTTCACATTGCAATAAAATACAAGGTCGAGATGGTACTGTTTATCCCCCAAAACTTCAAAAAGAAGACGAAGTAGTTCTATTTACAACAGAAATATGCAGGTTATAGATTTTGTTAAAGAGATTTTAATCATTTCATTTAAAAAATTATTTAGAACTCTTAAAGCTGAATTTGATGGGGTAGAAGTTTACAATGGAGCTAAAGTACATCGAAGAGTATTAAATGAAAAAACATTTGGCGATCCTGATAAGTATCCTGAAAATGTTTGTTACTGCGGGAAATATGAAAGGAATCTGTATGGAGAAAAAAAGTGTTTGCCTAATGGTTTTTTCGATATTTCACCATGTTATAGTATGGCAGAATCAAATATAAATGAGAGTTTCGAGATAGCTTCCTTGGAAAGAATGTTTCAATTCAGTTAATTCAGCAATTATGAGAAATAAATGAGCTTATCAGCTTAACAAAGATAGATGATAGAAAGCTTAATTCAGTTTAATTTACTTTGTATTCTGGTGAGGGTTTTACTGTTTATCGGACTGAAAGGATAATTTTGGTCAGATAGTGCAATAATTATTATTTCTGACATTTCTATTCATACAATTTACATCGATTTTCTTCTCTTTTAAATATCAGATCCATATTCACTGATACTATTGAGTGACTTCTTAAATGTGGTAAAACAAATTCTTCAATAATATGATTAGTATGTGAGTAAGATATAAAAGTTGATGTTGAAAATGATGCATTTAAGCAAAATGCAGAATACCGTTGCAGTATTAGACAATAAATTTAACCCCTTTCTATGTTACCTCACATATACAATTCCATCTAAATTGAGTGTGAAATCGAGCTCTTCGCTTTGTAAATCTCTCACTGTTCTTAGGAAAAACTATTACACAATTAAACTCCATCCAAGGAGGTTTGAGTAATCCTGAACTGAATGCTAAGACCATTAAGAATTTGATCAACTGGGTTCCTGAGTTCCTGAGGGATTTTTGGAGAGCGACACACGAACAAGATGGTATCAGACTCCAACGAAAAATTACTAGCAGTATGCATAAAGGGCCTAAAGGGGTTTAGAGTCACTGACTAAATTATAAGACGCATTGTACCTTTCGTTAGATTCCTTTCAATATGTCTTGTAGAAAACAAATTTTCGATTTACGTGGATTTTTTGTGTACCTTATAAAAAATACTTGAAATACTTTTATGGCATCTACAAGTCCAAGACAGATTTTGATAAATTACACTGTTTTCTAAATATAAGCACATGTTCATCAATAATTAGATGTCGTTTATTCCAAACGATCTTATTGGATACATTTTTGGGTCCAATCTTCGGTCGAATAGTGCTCCTTGATCACATTGTGTTGAATATGCTGACTTCACGAAGGCTTACTTTAATCAAGAATGTTGCTATCAGAACTTGGGTCATTATTATTTTCGATTTTGAGTTCAGGCGTGGTCTCCTACTCTTCATTATTTCGCGCAAGCGTTTACTTGAAGGTCATTAATGCTTTCTGTATCAGAACATTCACGTTCAACATCACTTACAGTAAAATATTCAATGATTTTCAGTAATTCTTCATCAGTGATAGAGATTTCTACGCATTCCAATCTATAATTGACGATGCGTTTAAATCAATGTTAATATTACAGTCATGCTGCTGAGTGAACTTTATTGAAAATTTGCACATCTATTAGCATACAATTGAACTAAATAATGAAGAAACAAGTATAGCACTGCTGATATTACACGTTGCAGTGAAGTGTTTAGTACACACTTCAATCAGATCATCCAATATTGTTTGAAAGGTGTTCTTTTGATGCATTTCTTTCAAACAACAAAACGACGAAACAAAATGCGATTGTCAGCGAACATAATTAAGCGATTCAAGAAAGGAGCTTCAGTCCGATAATGAGTAAATATCCTTTGAAATGTCTTTTTCATGATTCTTAAAAGTATACTGCCTTTTAAAGGACGCCACCTTGAAATTCTTATTTAGTTAGAACACAAAACAGTTTTAAAAGTATTCAAAAACAGTCGAAAACTACGATTTCAGTTTAAACTTCATAATTTTACCGAATTCTTATGCAAAAATAAGGTTGCAGAAGCTGCAATTGCAGGCAGATGTTTATCCACTATCATGTTTCTGTATTCACTCTTGGTTACAGACAGTTCAATGACCTTCGTCTCTAGAGACCCATCTGGACGATTTTTACTTCTACGTTCTGCTGGGTCCTGTTGCTTCTACGTTCCGTATTTTCATGGTTTTCTGCCATATCTTCGTACAGCTTTTTAAAGTATTTTTATTGGTTTCTTTCTGTTTCTCAATAAATTTCAGATTTTCTTTTGTCCGCTTTTCTTGGTTGATCAAATGTTTGCGTTTATTCTGTTTCTCACTACTTTGTATTCTTCGTATGTTATTGTGCCTGATCTATTCTCTAAATAGAATCTTCTCTTTTTCACAGCTAGATCCTTCACTCCTTGATTGCCAAGGCTTTGTGTTGGGTATATCATTTCCTGATATATCTCATCTCCATAGTGTTTCCTCTGATCATTTAATTACAATTGAGCGTAATACGTAAAAAATATTGTTACTAATATATCAATATTGACTGGTATTGTTACTCACTTTATATCAGTCTTTGCGTCTTTTTCACCTTTATATGAAATATAGCGTGTGAAATGTATTTTAATATATGTTTAGAAGAATACTAGACTGGTATGTTTCCCCGGTTTGAGTAAAAAATATAATATATCAAAAATCAAATCACAAGAATTTACGGTTTTGCGGTACAAAAGATTGCTTAATTTATTCTAAACTTCATACACAAGCGATCTGACTTACAATTAGAACATAATAAAGTTAACACTCACGCTGTTATTGTTACTATTATGTTTCTTGTGCATATTCTAATTTAAGATATACAGTTGCTTTGATACATTTGTTCTGGCATTAACTAATTGCGAATGCTTTTCGTATGTTGAAAATTTTTCATGAAAATTTTATCGTACCTTTTATCGTACCGTGTGCATTTTTCAAAAAACCCTAATTATCTCCCAAACTATAAATGTTAGGTATAGGACATATGGGATATAAAAGATGTAAAATGAGACACCCAAGACGACTAAGTAATAAAATATGGGGGGTGCCATTTAAAAAAATGATGTTATGATACTTCCAAGTTTCGAAAAAGTAACGTGCCATAGTAAAGTGACCAAACGTTCTAGACGGCCGTACTCGGCACCAAAACATACTCGATCATGTTGCTTATGCATGTTCTGAATCTTAAATTGATATCCCAAAAATCGAGTGTTCTCTGATTTTTTTAACAAATGTCTGCTGGAGTAGATTTTTCTAGAAAAATTCGAATAACTCGAGAACGGCCGAATCAGATTGCAAAAAGTAAAGTTATTCATAAACCTTGAAAACAGACAAATCCGAATATGTAAAAATATATAGGGTGTTCCATTTAAAAAAATAAAGTAGGTGGCGACTTCCGGTATAACTGGAAGTGCTACAAATCTGAAAATATTTTAGTCGAAGAGAACGCAATTAATAATACTTAAATCTGAATTTTCAAATTTTTGTTTTGGCTAGAACCCTATAAAGTTGTAATGAACGGTCGTCGTGGATGACCTGTATATGATGTTATATCTTTCGTGAACTAAATAACCAGACAGGTAAATATACCTGCACTACTTCTCCCATGTGTTTCCCTGTCCGTCCAACTCCTTCATCATTATCCTCCTCCATGCTGTCGTGGGCCTTCCCCTTCGCCGTCTGCCCTGGGAATTCCAGTTTAGTGACTGTTTTGCGACATTGTTGTGCCCGGTTCTGTCTTGCTTCGCTTGTCGAACTATTCGACCTCTTGTATGTTCTCGCTGTATATGTATATGTAATAAGTGTAAGTGTGTGTGCGCTTTCTGTGTTAATGCGTATTGCTGATGTTTTCTTTTTATTTATATCTAGACCTACTTGCCTGCACCATTCTGTTATTTTATTTAGTTTTGTTTCCCTGTCAGCATGCGTTGCCAGAAGGCATATACGGTTAGCGTAGTCTAGCATAATCTAGTATAATATTGAATGGTAGGGGTGATAGCAGGTATCTCCTATCTTGACCGTTATTAAGTTACTAAACTCGTCCCGATGCAGCACCTTGCTTTTTGCGTCGTGAAACAATGATTTTATAATGTTAATTACATATAATTTTACTCTTAATATTTTTAAGGTTTACGACATTTTCAGTACTTTTAAAACTGCTGTAGAATTTTACGCCTGACTTTTTCTATCAAACTTATTAAAGCCCATTTTAGTTGCCCCTGTTATTGCATCATTTCCTCATTTCTTATTTGCTGACGAAGAATATCAAAAAACAGTTACTGGATTGAAACCATCACAAGAGAATCATCAAACTGTCATCAAAATAGAACCAGTAAGAAGTCTTGTTTCCTCTTTAAATGTATATGAGGTTTTATCTTGTTTCTTTTTTCAGATTAGTGGCATACCTATGCAAGGAAATGTTAGATTACAATTCAACATGATTCTTAGGCCTATTCCTGGTATTGAAGCTACCCAAAAATTAACCCCTAGCGTTTGTCCAATAGCTTGGTTAGAAGAAGTAAATTTTTAATTATAGATTTACACAAAATTTTCTAAAAATTACTTTATTTTTAGTCTGTAACAATTCCCGAAGATCTAAGTGGTTATTTCATCGGAATTCTTAACGCAGCTTTCATCATAACAGATGTCCTATTATATGGATTATTGATTATAGGAGTAGGATTGTTTTTCTTTTGCGGCGGGCTTTATCTATATAGACAAAGGATATCTAAAAATTTAGAAAATTAATAAATTGTGTACCTAAATGTAAAAACTAAAAAAATAATCACATTGTGTTACTAATAAAATATCTTATCTAAGTGAACAAAAATACATCTATTATTGAAGTACTTTACTATTCAGTTTATACTTGAAACTTATCGGGAGTATCAATACCTATATACATACCTTATCACCAAACTTACAGTTAGTAGTCATTCAAACTTATCGGGAATAATACCATAAAAGAATTTCTAAAGGTGAAGGTCTCATGGTGTGTTAAAATTGAAAGTTCGGATTTATTGTCTCCTAATTACTAACTAAAATGGTGAAAGCTAATAAGAAATTACTACATGCTTCTATAGCAGGAGCTGTAATTTTTGTGGTGGGACTCATTATGGCATTCGTAGGATTTCCATTAATTGTTGATGATCAAATTCATAGGGTAAGAATTCTTTAAAATGTCATAAGCAAACATTTAATAATAATAGTAAATTTCATTTATGAGGGTGATTCCTTATATTTATTGCATAATATGTGTTAAAGAAGATGACAAATAAAAATTGTAGAAAAAAAGTGATTGATAACATTTTTTAATCAGCTATTATCTTGAGACATTCGCTGTTGAAATTCTAATTATTATGGATTTGCGAGCAGTTAAAGAATTTTGAGAGAAATTGATAAAACAGATATCTTTGAAAGTATTTATATTGGCAATTTTGAGAAATTGCTGACATTGTTGGTAGGAAAATTTTTTTGCGAGTCTCTTATTAACATAATAATATCGGCCAAAATACTTAATAAAGTCTACTACATTGAACGTAATTCCTAACTCTTTCGGGTTTTGAATTCAGAAATGCAAAGTATTCACGTCATATTGCTATTTCACACCGAATTAAGATAACTATTGATAGGTGAAGTGCTAGTCATCCACTCGAAATATTTTTACTAATGAAAGTTGGTTATGCCAATTAATACACATGTATAATATTTTTGACAAGCTAAGTGATTTATATATGTATAAGTTTACAATGTGTTTAAATTTGTTTTTGTCAAAACAATAGCAACATTTTCAATAGCGAATAGGTTTATGGCAATGGGTTTTGCGAAATGTTGGACATTAAAAATGTTTATGGACACAATCTTCATTTAGAATCTGATGTTAAGCCATATTTATACGTTATACTAAAGATTTGTAAAAGTATTCAATAACTTCCTTTTTATTTTACACACGTACCAAGGCGCATTGACTACACAGCTTAGTACTTTGTTCTGGAGACGTTGGATCACCTAGATGTTGGAATCTTTAACATAGCCCCATAACTAGATTCGATAGCTCCATACTTGCCTATATAACATAAGCTTGTAAATAATCGCTTTCCACTAACTCTTTCCACCGAAGCTGGGTATCGAGAGTCATACCAAGGTATTTCACTGTGTTGGTATATGGTAATTGCGTGCCATTAATGTAGATTGGTTGATATGCAATCATCTTATTTGTGAAGTCAGTATGCATCGATATCGATTCGTTGAATTTAATGCACTTTTGTCCAGATGACAATTTTGTTAATAGCAGATTGCAGTTTTCTGGTTGACCTTTTCACGTCCTCTCCTACTGTCATGCCTGCCGTGACATCGGCGAAAATGGGTGTTATGCTATACAATATTGTTGGAACATTATAAATGTAAATCAGTTACAAGACTGGCCCCATTACACTCCCCTGTGGTACTCCCCCCTAATTAGCTTCAGTACCGAGTAAAAATCTTAATGTTTAACGTAAAAGTGTCTGTTAAATGGTAAGATTTTAGAAGTTGGTGAAAATGTACAGGAAGAAATGGTCTTAATTTATAAAGTAAGCTTTCATACTATACTCTGTCAAATACCTTCGTTTTCCAATGTTTTTTCGACATCAGTAATTCGATGTACTTGGTTGATGGTCGAGTGATTATTTCTGAAACCAAATTAATGAGATAGTATTTAGGTTTCTTTGATTGAGATTAGGTTAGAGACGTTTCATAATCACTTTCTGCAACAACTTTGATATAATTTCGCTTAGCTTCTTGCTAAATTTTGGAATCATTATGACTTCAGCTGGTTCCCATGTATGTGCAACGTAGTTCAGCTGTATACAAGCATTGATCGATCAAAGTAGTTAGTTTGAGAAAAGTTTTTCTCAGTTTAATTTCATCAGCAACTTCCTTAGAACTAACCAGTCATCCCATCAAAGCTATCATTGGGGTTGAGACTCGGTGAATCATTAGCTCCAGCATGAGGATGTAATCTTCTTTCAAGATTTTTTGCAAAAGTATTTACATTTTTAAAACTGTTACAAGCCCTACAATGTTAGCTTTTCTAATAAGAGGCACTTATGTTGCTGATCGCATACGATATGTAGTATCTTTTCAAAGTAAAATGTTCAGTGTTATCTACAGTAAGTTCTGTGAGGTACTTGCTGATTGATGCTTACCTGATTTTTTATTTTTTTGGTTAGCTTGGATGGATCTGTTGAGCAGAGCTTTATCCTGAGGGCTTCTTGATTTATGGCATCGTCTTCTAAGTTTCCGCTTTTTAACAATTAGCTTTCTAATTTCTGCTAATTTAGACCTAATAACGGGTGTACTATTCTATGCAGCCTTCTGGATGACACTGGTAGAAATGTTTAGTTCTTCCAATTACGCCAAGGGGTTAATCTTATTTTCCAATAGGTAAATGAAATAATCCCAATCTGTATGGTTGTTGATCACCGTTAGGTTTTGATACTTCATAATGATTTTATCGCCAATTGTCAGAGATATTGGAATATGGTCCGAATTCATGTCAAAGCCATGTTCAATTAATATAATTTGATGATAAGAATTTATTTGATATGGAAAATATTTCCGATGTTGTAAGATTGGATTTTTTTGTACCTGATATGTAAAGTAACTCAATCAAAGCATGTAATTCTGCAACACTAGTTATTATCAACATATTTAGGGTTTGAATCATAATTGCTGCGTTAACGTTCAATTTCTATATTTATAAATATGACAATATCATTCATTATAAAAGTATCAAACAATCATTTCCAATAATCTATTTCCGAGGTAAAATGCAAGTAGTAAAGTTATTGTAAAAATCAATTCACCTTGAGGTTACACGTATACAGGGGTGTATGCTTTCTGGGATCAATATAGATAGTATCACCACAATTAAAACAAACAGGCGTGACAGCCACAACCCACTGCTCTGCAAAATGATTAGAAATGTTACCAAAAAAAGTGAAGAGACACGATAAAGCAAGTAACGAACTACACTTATTTGGGTGTAAGCATAACGTCTTAAGGAGAATTCAAGAATCGTATAAGAAAAATATTAACACGTTAGGGTCACTAAGAACAACCATCAGGAGAAACAACTGCATATCTACCGAGACCAAAATGAGAACATACAAAGTCTGCGTCAGGACAATAATAACATATACTGCGAAGGTGCGGACATACGCAGCGAAAACCGAAAGGATGGTGCCAACAAAATAGCGATTTTGAGAATAATCACTGGAAATATACTATGGGACTAAAAGCAAGTAAATTCAGAAGGAATACGAGACGAACACTGGCAGGATGGATGCGTGCACGCAGAAGACTGGAACCAGCAGGTTTTACGCATAGAAAGGAATACACTACCAAAGATTGCCAGAGATTGTAGCATCCAAAAGGCCACCGCATCACAAGAAATACAGGCAAAACAGAATAAATAAAACAAGCCTATATGGCTTCCACAAAGAAAAAGTAGAAGAAGGTGACAACCAAATTCTTTTCTCGATACGCCTTTATCTTCATACACATCCCCAGTTAATTTGTACTTTTGTATTATAACTTCTAGTTATCAAAAGCATTCGTGATAAAAAAGTTAAGATTCTGTAAAGTTAAGAGCATGAAAATCGAACGCTGGTGACAATACATAGTTAAAACATTATTCATTATCAATGATTTCATCAAGACTAAAGCTTTCCAGTGGAAATTAAGATCTTTATTCAAAGTGCTTATATTTGTACCAAGGAAATCGCGAAAACTGATAAATCGAGCTTCAGCCTTATTGTCAGCATCTCTCAATTGGTAACCTAAAATCATCACAATCTTATTCATAGTCAATTAAATATAGGAATAAGTTAAATATATACCTAATTTTCTAAAACGCCTCTAAAGTACAATAGGATTAACTTTTCCAATGTTTACGCAAAGCAACTAGTTTTCTCCTGTTGAGACTTTAAGCTTTTAAGTGTTGTCTTTATAACTTTATTGCCTCTTTTTCGTCAGTGGTAATTGATAAAAAATTATAATTAAATCATTAAAATTATAATTTTAGCAAGTAAAACTTGAGAATGGATCTGATTCTTACGAAAGATGGAGACAGTTACCGGTTCCCTTAGACTTTAAAGTTTACATGTTTAACATCACGAATTGGAGGGAAGTTAATTTTGAAGGAGAATACCCAAATGTGGAAGAATTTGGACCATATTATTACAGGTAAAAACAACCAATTTTAATTTATCTTTAATTTTATTGAAAATATTTTCCTTGTAACTAGACAATATAGAGAGAAAATCAATATAGAGTACAACAGCGACGAAGATTCATTAACATACAAACAATTTACACATTTTGAATTCGACAAAGAAGCTTCTGCTCCGCTAAGTGAATCGGACAAGTTAGTTGTACTTAATGCACCATTAAACGTAATGAAAGCATACAATTTTAATAATTGTTTATTAATTAACATTTTTATTGTTTCTTTAAGGCTATCTTTCATGTAGGTAGTATATATTTTCCTGAAATTTTAATGAGTCTACTTGTTGACAAATTTTGGATAAGCATGTTTCCCTACGCATTAGACGATAGTATGTTTTTAGAAGTGGAAGTTGGAGACTTTTTATTTAACGGATACACATTTTGTGAACCGGAACGTTGGTACGGTTCAAGCGGCTTAATGTGCATCCTTGCTGCATTATTAGACATTCCTTTTATAGAAGTTCAAGAAGACTTTTCTATGAAATTTTCTGTTTTTCGTTTTGTAAGTTTAATCATAAAAATTTACGAAGAATCATAAAAATATCTATTTTAGAAACATGATACCCACGATGGTATTTTTACGATAAATGCCGGTAATCATGATGTTACCAAATTAGGACAAATCATGCAATGGAATGGTTATGCTTACAATACAATTTGGGGGGACAGAATGTCACAATGTAATAAAATCCGTGGCACAGATGGAACGGTTTATCCTCCGGATATAAAGAAAGAAGATGAAATGGTTATATTTGCAACTGAAATTTGCAGGTAAATTATATCTTTTAATAAACAAAAACATGTATTATTATTCGTTTTGAAAAACATTACAGAACTGTAAGATTACAATACAGCGGTGATGAAACTGTAACCGGTGTGAAAGCACAGAAAAGAGTGTTTTCTTGGCATACTTTAGCCGATCCTGAATTGTATTCGGATAATCAATGTTATTGCGGAAAACACGAACGTGATTTATATGGTAAAAAGAAATGTTTACCAAATGGGTTTCTCGATTTATCTCCATGTTACAGTAAGAAATTAAAAAAAATCTACATTTATAATTTATTTATGCATTCTTTTAGTTGCCCCATTAATTGCTTCGTTTCCACATTTCCTCGATGCCGATGAGGAATATCAAAAAACTGTTACAGGATTTAATCGTTCCGATGAAGCTCATCGGCCCGTTTTATATGTCGAACCCGTAAGTATTTAAAATTGTCATACTTAAGTAATTAATTAACTATCTTAATTAGATGAGTGGAATTCCAATAACTGCACAAATTAGATTACAATTTAACATGATTTTAAGACCAATAAAGGGAATAACAGTTACTAAAGATATTAAAAATAACATGTGTCCTGTTGCGTGGATAGAAATGGTAAGATTTTACAAATATAAACGAGGTAATGTTAGAAATTTATAAATTTATTATGCAGGGTGCTATTTTACCTGAAGATTTAGTTGGAGAGTTTAGAAGCTTATTGAATCTCGCGGTCGTTGGTGTCGAAGTTGTTAAATGGCTTATTGTAGCAATCGGTGCGTGTATGTTTATAATATGCGGTGGAATATATTATTATAGATTTAAAAAAACTAAATCTGTATAATAATAAAGTTACATTAAACAGTAATTCGTTGTGATTTTTGAACATAAATTAATTTCCAACCAAACATTATGTAAAAAAAATTATTCCGAAGATCGAATAATATTACACATTTAACGGCACTCAAAGATATTGCTTATCTTGCAATATTTTTAACCATAATTTTAACCCAGTGCATATCTTGAATCGATATTTACAGTTGGGATGAAATAATCAATTGATTTAACATTTTCATGTTAACATTCATACAGTGTAAGCGTACCACTTCAACATGATTATCCGAGGAAATACAACTTTATTTAAATGGGCTATTGCTGGCTCAGTGTTTTTAGTTCTTGGACTTCTTTTAGCATTTGTTATATTTCCAGTTATTGTAGACGATCAAATATATAGGGTAAGAATTAATTTATTATTCTAAAACTTATTCTTTTTTGGACACAAACATAACATCAACATCCGCGCAAATTTCGAGATAAATTTTTCCTTAATAGAATAATTAATCGATATCAATGTACGAACAAAATTTAAAAATATATTTTGAAGTCTAAATATATTTTTTATATAACTTAAAGTTAAGCTTTAAATTTTACAGGGAATTTTTTGTGATCTATTTATCGTTTTGGTTTTCAAATTTATTTCGTTTTTATCGTATAATTACCAATTATTCAAAAAATTGATCCGTATTTTTATTTGTAAGACAATTGGAGATAAATACCGATATAAAACGAAAACATTAATAAAATAGCACTTGAGATAGTACATTTTGACGGTACAATAGAGATTATAGATTAATATTGACCAAGTAAGATAAGATTTAATCGATTCAAAATATAAAATAAAAAAGGTCCAAGAAAAACTGCTTTTGTTCGTTTTTTTAATTTTTTGTTTCTAACAGCAAGTTAGACTAAAAAATGGTACTGATCAATATGATCGATGGAAACAACTTCCTGTTGGGATAGAATTTAAAATTTACTTGTTCCACGTGAAAAATTGGCGTGAGGTAACTTTTGAAGGTGCTAAACCGGAAGTAGAAGAGAAAGGACCTTATGTTTATAAGTAAGCGGTTCTATCAATTAGTACTTTTTCAACACTAAATTGTTACGTCGCAGTAATAATGAAAAATATGACCTCAGTAATATGATAAAACCTCAGTAATTTTGTGAAAAAATCTTTGTCGGGTCTTATTTTAAAGAAGAAAAACGAGAATTATACAATGTTATCCGATGATTATTAGCAAAATTTATAATGTTCAATAAACGTTAATTAGTTTAATTTTAATTTATCGCAAGTTATCTAATTTTGGATTTAATTCCCAGAACATAATAAAAAATTAAAACAAAATATGGTAAACTTATACAGTGAATTCAAATAAAATTAAAAAAACAGAGTCTAATAAATTTTAGCTGATCAAGTGAAATAAACATATCTCACAAAATTTAAACAAATTTAAAAAACTCTACAAGTATTTTGGCAAAACTCTCATACATTAACAATGATTTATTTACATACCAATAATCTATTAGTTCAATGTAGCAGAATTTAGTCAAATAACTTTGAAAAGTGGTAAATCTGAAATATAACAAAAATATATATCAGAATTTAGCACAACTTGAAAGAAAGGGACATAATATAAAATAACCATACACTGGTGTCCAGAAACTCAACGTCAAGCGTGTACCGGGTGAAAGGTCAACCCATACCTGTTCTGGTAAAAATAAGAATAAAATTTCATGTCTTTTAGTTAAGTGGTAATAGACATATTTTTGAAAATGTTAAAAATCGATCCTATAGATCATATCTTTAGGTATTACGGTCAGAAATGTTGGCAATTTAATAACTGATTTTTTTAATAATGTAATCCTTATTAACCATGCAACTATAGAAGTCGCAAATCAAACAACAAAAGTCGTTAGTTTTGCGAAAAAAATGTTAGTTTGATTGAGTTAAGGTTGAAAAAAATTACATCTATTTGGTTTGACACACGATTTCTAAAAAAAAGAGTACTATAACACTCTTGTTTAGTCTCTAATTTTAACAAATGGCCTGTTTAGTCAAGATTCCAAAATGGTACAACACTTGCCATTTTTCTTTTCATAAAAACTATTGTTGCCTCTGTTTTTCTGCAAAAAACACGTTACAAAATGTGGTTTCAACAAAATGGTTATAATTTATTTATTATTAATTTTGTTGCATTATTTTCCTAAAACTAAAACAACTGATCAAATTGTTTGGCATCGCCACAAATACAAACTCTGCATCGCCGCCGAAAAGATTTTTTTACTAGTCGTGCAAATCTCCTTGCATTTATTTCTTCTACTGCTGTATAAATATTGTAGCGCAGTTCGACAAAATTTAAAATCGGTTTATACAAAACCGACACTTTTTTTTGTTTTATGCAACCCCAATAGAAAAATCAAGGAGATTTAGGTAAGGAGAAAGAAGAGGCAACGTAATCGAACCAAGGCGTAAAATCCATTTTTCGGGATATTCTGTATTCAAGTAATCCTGTACAGAACGAGCATAATCAGCTGGACAATCATCTTGTTGGGTGACACATCTTCTAACAAAGTTGGTAAATTATTTTGGAGAAAATACAATATCAGACGAAACTATGAATTTTTTAAATAACGTTTTTTGCATAAAAACAGGCAATAATATTTTTTGTGAAAACATAAATGAATAAGTATTGTACCATTTTGGAATCTTGACTAAACAGGCCATCTTTTAAAATCACTTGCCAAGGGTGCTTCTTTTTTTAGAAATCAGGTATCAAACTTAATAGACGTAATTTTTTTCAACCTTAACTCAAACAAACTAACTTTTGTTGTTTGATTTGTGACTTCTATAGTAGCATGGTTAATAAAGATTGCATTATTAAAAAAATCACTATTAAATTGCGAACATTTCTGACCGTAATACCTAAAGATATGATCTACGGGAAAGATTGTTAGGATTCTGTCCTTAGTGATTCTCTATCTTCGATGTTTTCTACTTTGTATGTGTCTATTCTTTATGATGCTTGTTCCATCGCTGATTATTTGTGCTCTCAAATATTCAAACTTGCTGCTGTCCTTCCACACATATGTACGCTGTTTTTTGTATATTCACTTTCAGGTTCACCCATACGCTGTATTCCTCTATGAGCTTTCTAGTCATGTATTCCATATTTTGATGGTCCTGTGTGATTACAATTTAGTCATCGGCGAATCATAATCTAGAATCTAGATGATTCTGTCGTGTAGCAGCATATATATATATATATATATATTGTCGCAATGTGGTTCTTGGATACTGTCTCAAGTTGTTGGTATAACATTTTTCAAAAATGCGAATTTCAAAAATTTCATGGTTTCGATACATCTTTGATGGCTTGTTTGATTGGGAATGCCATTAAATGTATAATTGCCTCCTTCTCTTGTTCCTTAACGAAGTTCGGTAGTAATGCGGTTCCGTTAATAATGCTTAAAGTAGGCGACCCAATTTTCGAGCGTTGCTGATTTGAGGTCCCATGTTTCGGCCTGTCTTAGGAATTTCAAGTTTCCCCATCTTTCACTACTTTTTTTGCTATATATGTTTATTCTGCTGTATGTCTTCTCTCATGTGTTATTTTTCCTGTGTTTTTATAATCTTTTGGTCCTCTGCCTGCATCTGTTTGTATCGTGGTTCATGCTCGTTTGATTTTGATGTCAAGTATTTTTGTATTTTTCTCTATTGTCTCTTATTGCATCTTCTATGTATATTTTCGTTCCAACAATATGGTCCTAATTTGTAAATATTCCTTTGCTCCTATAGCTTCTTTGGCTGTTGAGTGTATGCACATCCTTATAAAGTGGTAGTATTTTTCGTCGTTTATTTCATTCATATCTCCAAGTATTAGAATTTCTGTTGAGTTTAACACTATTATTATCTCACTATTTAGATGTGCATAGAATTGGTCTCTTTTGGCAACCATTGTATCGTCGTTTATAGAATACACTCTTAGTATTGTGACTTTTTATCCGTCTAGACTTAGGTTCATTTTAATCACATGCTCATATATTGCATCCTATGATGTTATATGTCGTCGTCAGGTGTTACAATACTTTCCTGCACTCTTTTGTCCTTTTCTACACCCAGAAGTGATCATAATTGGCGACGTTTTCTGATCCCTGACATTAGGTATTCTTAAATGTCTAATGTATTAATATGATAGAATAATTTGATTAAGTTTCAGTTAACAAATACTTCGGATTTATTTTTAATTTGTCTCATAACCATTGAGTAATAAGTTACCAGTTCCATTGAGTAATAATTCTCGAGCAATAATGTTTTGAGAGCAGGTTTCCGACAGGTTTTGATCAAACCTATTTTATTTGTCATTACCCAACACTCGTATTTTACTCTATTTTGTCGTATTATTTGGAATTTTGAGACATGGTGTTTAAACACACTAAAAGATACTTTTAAAGACCTAGTTCATTTTGAATTTTAATCAACAATCGTGTACAAATCGTCCATTTCTTTCAATATGCCTGAACTTTGGCAGTCTCTTAGATATTCTAAATACGTTATCCGACAATCCGTACATAAAAATTTAAAAAATAATTTATGCTGCTTTTCTTCATAGGCCTTTGTGATCCACACATCAAATGCATATCTGATTTATCCTCCTTGTTGTATATTGATATTTTTTTTATATGCAATAACGATGAAATGATCTCTGAAAAAAGTTGAAATAAAATTTTTAATTTTTTATGAGTAGATTCAATTCCTCACCCATTTTTTGTCCCTTAGCCATATATGAATTTTGCATAATAATCCTTATTCTTGACTAGATTTCTTGTATTTTAATCTGCCACATTTCTTACACTTAATTTGTTCCTTATTTGTCTCTTTTCCATAATATTTCTATAATATTTCGTTGCTATCATTTTATAATAGTATTTTCAATCTTATTTCTCTTCAACAACGAAAGATTCTGACTTTTAAGGATTTATCATAATACTATTGACTAAAATGATTTTGGTATCTGATGATAACATCGCGAGCTTCGTTCCTTAGTTACAAGCGGTCATACAATTACGCAAGTATTATATTTTTCAGTATCCAATAAACAAACAAAGCACTTCTGAGGTAATAGCGTTGATCGGCAGATAATCTTATCTTTTCTCTTCTAAAAGATTTTTTCAATTCTGTTACTCTTTCTACCACCTAACGTACTAGAACGAAGAACGTACACCAATGTACTAGACGAAGACTGTTCTGTATCTACTGGATTCTATAACTGTTGCTGGCTTTTGTTAAACCATCATTGACCACATGAGCAACTATTAGATTGCTGAGCACCAAAGAAGATTACTTCATGTAACACTTGTTACTTGGACATTTTCAAAGTTAAACATCATGTGTAACATTTCTATTGGCTATTCCTTAAACGATGTTACCAATTACATCTGCTAGAACAAATGACCTTGTTTAAATCCTGATTACCATTTAAGAAACGCGGACACTCTAATGCGATAACCATTCTGTTATATGAAATATGACCTTTCGATTTAATCTAAATATTCTCTATTTATTATACAAGATTAACCTTGTTTATTTCTTCGTTGTCTTCATTTTTAGACTTTATTTATTAAGTATTTAATCCAAATCCTATTCCAGCTAACATTATACTTCCAATAACAAAATTGCCAAACTGTGTTGATAAACTATTGATAATAAAAATGTTTTCAATATTACAAACCCATTAAGAATTTTTACAAAGTTATTAGTTTCAGTACTCAAAAGTCTTCACTATTTTTTCAATAAATAGAATACTTAAGTGTTATTACTGCGATGTCATCGACTTAAAATCATATTTTTACACAACATGATAAGAAATTTTGAAAATCACTTCATAAGTAAATAAACAATTCATCTAATCTAACTCATCAAACTGACATAAGATTAACAATAATCATTTAAATATTTTCGAAAAAATAATTTATTATCATGTTTTCATAATAGAGAATTTCGACGAAAAGAAAATATAACATACGATGAAGCCGAAGACTCATTAACTTACATTCAATATACAAGGTTTGAATTCGATGAAGAGCTATCGGGAGATCTTAGAGAAGATGATAAGGTTGTTACACTTAACGCTGGTTTAAACGTAAATTTTAATACTTATGTTTTCAAATAATTTATTACGAATAGCTTTTTTTTTAAGGCAATTTTTCAAGTAGCTAATAGATACTTCCCTGAAATTCTTATGAAAGCCCTCGTTGACAACTCCTGGCAATACATGTTTCCTGACGTTCTAGAAGGTAGTGTATTCCACGAAGTAAGTGCAGGAGATATTTTATTTAAAGGATACAGATTTTGCGATCCGGAAAACTGGAATTCTGTAGCTGGAGTAATTTGTGTAGTAGCTGCGTTATTAGATACTCCTTTTATTGAGGTTCAAGAAGATTTTTCTTTAAAGTTTGCTTTTTTCAGTTTTGTATGTAAATTCCTATTATTTGTTACAATAAAACCAGAAACTAATTATTTTAGAAACAAGATAAACATGATGGTGTTTTCACCGTAAACGCCGGAATAAAAGACGTTTCAAAAATAGGTTTAATTACTCAATGGAATGGTTATGCTTATAACACCATATGGAAAGATAGAATGTCTTCCTGTAATAAAATTAAGGGGCGTGATGGAACGATTTACGCACCGGATATGCAAAAGGAAGACGTTATCGATGTGTTTTCCACTGAAATTTGTAGGTAAGAAATAAATTTATTAATACAGTTTTTGAATGTGTAGTTTGATTTTTATCAACATTTTTTATAATTGTGCATTAAATGTTCATTGTTAAATTAAAATACCCCCTAGTATTGTGATAAATCATAATCTATTATAAATTCAAGTGCAATCTCGTTTCGGTTGACGTCGCAATAAATATAAAAACTTCTATTTTAAGATTTTAATCTAATCTATAATCAAAGATAAATCAGTTCAAGGTATAAAAATCAAACATTCTCTAACGACCTACAAAAAAATTAGAATGATCTATGCTCAAATTTCTCGCATTTTTATTAGGCACTAATACACAAAATTAACAGAATTAATTAAAAAAGCACCGTAATTCTAAAATGAAACAAAAAAATAAATTAACACCTTAAGATTCATGAATTATCTTTATATTAAACTCTCGTGTATAAGAAAAATCACAAATGAGTGTTCAAGTAAAATATCACTTATTGTTATATTGTGTGATTGAAATTTTATATCTGATCATTGTCTATGCTTATAAAAATTTTTAATTATTTTTCACATTTGGATATAATAAGCAGATAATCATTTCCAAAATTTATTCAAATTTCTATTTTCCCATATTAAATATTATAGAAAAGTGACATTTTGCAGCATTTTAACCAAAGTTTCATTACCTACTTCCATCATGTTAATCGGATCTTTTGGAGATCGTTCTTTTGAAAATTTTTATGAGGCTGCATAAAATATGTAGTCATTAGCATAGAACTAAGGAAAAATTCTTGCAGATTTTATCGTATGTTAATTGTATGTTATTCGTATTTGATATGCAAAGCAGTTTCCATTCAATTTATTATCTTCTACTTCTTTCTCATTCGAACCATATGAGGGGTCGGCTCTCCTAATATTTCTGCGCCACGAGATTCTATCTTGAGTTATCGGTTCAGACAAATTATTTTCATTCAGTCCACCTTGATACCTTCTACCTGGTCCACCAGCTCTCTTCCTTTGTTGGTCTCCGGAAGCCTTAACGTTTTTCATACAACAAGAGACTTCAAGGAACCTTGTCACTCCTCCCGACCATCGTCATTTTCATTTTAATTTCGAGAGTATGAAGTTTTTGCATGAGTTTTCTTTACCATCCAGGATACTGGCCCATATGCCCTTTGTACAAACAGGTATATTCGGGTCGCGTAGCACTCCAGTTAAGGGTAGCCATTTCTAGCAGGCCACTCATCACAGATCCCAGATACTGAAATTGTGTCACTTTCGGGACTGGTGTTTCATCAAACAACAATAATAGACGGTAGCCTTATTGGCTGAGCCTTGATGAAAACCGCATTTCAAATGGTCCGTCTTTGATCTACTCACATTGAGTCAGACACTTTCTAAAGTATCCATAGGGAGAGTGTGTTTTCAAGCTCGATTTGTGTTTTCACGATGAGGACGTTGTCATAAAATAGATTCCAGGGTAGTGGTTCTAGGATTTCCTTCATAATCATGTTCATCACAACATTAGAGATTAGGTGCAAAGAGCGGAGCCCTGATGACTGAGACCGACCAGAAACCTAACTCTGTTTATGATACATATTTTGTATTAAATGTATGTATAACATTCAGGCAGATGTCGTGCTCTGAAAGATCACCAAATAAAACACTAAAAGGAGATCATCTTTGTTCACGCGGTGCTTTTCCGTTAATATTATGGCTACCTTTATTGCATCGGTTGTTGATTTAAAGGGCCTCAATCCAAATTGGTTACGAGTAATTGATGTGTGAAGTTGGATACGCCTGTAGATTATACGTTTCCATATTTTGAAGTGTGACGTGTTAATTTTATTCCCCCTAATTGCCACATTGAGTCACGTCACCCTTATTTTCGTAAAAGGGGACTAAGTAGCTAAATCGCCACGGTTCTGGTATTTACCCGATCACGAATATACATTAAATAGCCTTGTAAACCATTCCAATCCAATGGGTCCAAGCCTTTTCCACACTTCTGGTGGGATCTTATTATTATTTATTTTCCACAGCTTTACGGTATCTCGCTATTCCACTTGCCGTGATAACATTTTTCAATGGTGGCTGTATCTTGATGGAACCTTTCTCCATGCTCGTCATTAACATCGCTAAGATTAAAGACAATCATACGCGTACCCGGAACTAACAACTTCTATCTTTGCAGCCTTAATCCTAATACTTCTGGTTGAGTTTTTGATATATTGAGATCTCGGATTGGGTCATTTAAGTAGTTCCAATTCATTTATTAAATGAGGCGTGTTCTTCTTAGATTGGACTTGGTACTGGTAAACTTTCCGAATGAGGAACTGGACGAGTGGTAGAAGACAAGTAATTTTATCCCTACTTTTCCTACAAATCCCGAAGGTGGTTGTACAGTAAAACTAGCAATCTGTCGAATGATCCCTTTGTGCTCGCAAAATCATTCAGATTGTCATTCCTTAGGCTAATAATTTTTACCTCAATATCCATCGGTATTTTTTAACCCTATACGGTCATTCAAAATGATCAGTATTTTCGTCAATCTTGTCGTAGTATTTGACCTGTGTACATCAGGAATGAATAATATTCAGAACGCGTCAGTTGCAATTATTTTAGGTCCTGTTAAGGAATCAAATAAAATACTCTTACCTTGTTCTTCTCAAGGAAATTCTTCAGACCGTTGTAGAAGATTGCAAAAATTATTTTTGCATCAACGAGTTTTAATAAGTTGTTATTAATGGTGAAACTATTTGTTGAAAAGTAAAACAGAAAGATGAAAGAGTATAACAGCTGAATAAAGGTTGGACCCTCACTACTGGAAGATATTTTAGGAAATCCTTGATATCCTCCGCCACTACGTTCTCCCACTATCTCCTTGGTCTGCTCATTCTCCTGCTTCTTTCGGCCCACTATATAAGTGAATCTTGTACGCTGTGCAGCAATGTGCATTATGTATATGATAGTTTTTTCCAATCGTTAGGTATCGTTTCTTCTGTCCATATATAGTTTATTAAAATGTATAGGTGCTCCTGCAGAGTATTTCCTCCCTCTTTATACAATTCGGCTGGAATGTCATCCCATCCTGAATCCATCTGATAGCGTCATCCCATCGCCGTTGGTAGGGCGCCGTTATGTCAGATGTTCCGATTACAGTTGCTTTTGGGATGTCGCCTTCTACTATGAGTTACCCCCCAAGTGTTTTTGGAAGCACTTCCTCCAGGTTTCCTTAATTATAGGGTTGTTGGTAACGTCTCTTATTTTCCTGAATATTGATGTCCGTGGTTTGTACCCCTCTCTTAGTTGTTTGATAAATTTGTAGACGTATCTTGGGTTGTGCTGTTTGAAGTTCCCTTCCATTTCTAGGATTAAATCATTCAGGTATTTCCTATTCGCAGCTCTTCAGCAGCTCTTGTGAAGGGATTTGTGTAGGAAACAAGTTGAGCTTATTATCATGCTTTTGCTTGTAGCGAAGCCTATCAGCCTTAAATATGAATGTTCAAATTATTTACTGAAAATCTGTGTAAACATCAATTGTAAGATCATATATATGTTTACAAAATGTAATACACACAAGCACTATCCCAATTTTTCCATGTAATCGAGTAAATCCATTAAGATGATGTGAAACTTATAGAAGTAAATCCCACCGGTAACAACACTTTAAACTTAGACTGTCTCCAGAGTGGAAGCTGAAATGCTACTTTTATCTTATTATTGACGATTAATTATAATTAATGTTTATTTTAGGACTGGTGTAGCAGCTTATGATGGAGAAGATAAAGTTAGTGGTATTACAGTGCAAAGAAGAGTACTTGGAGCAGACACATTAGGTGATCCAGAAACATACCCAAACAATTATTGTTATTGTGGTAAACACGAACGTGATTTATACGGTAATAAAAAATGTTTACCAGATGGATTTTCTGATTTATCTCCATGTTACAGTAAGTATAAAAAATATGTAAGTACAACTACGTTATTTTAATTTTACCCATTTTTAGTGGCACCTGTTATAGCATCTTACCCTCATTTCTTATTTGGTGATCAAAAATACGCTGAGACTGTTATAGGTTTAGATCCAGTTCCAGAAAAACATCAAACAGTTTTAATGGTTGAACCAGTAAGATTCTTTTCGATTTGAAAAAATCACGTTTTAATAATTATTTTTTAACAGTTAACTGGTACACCCATGAGCGGTAGAAAACGTTTACAATTCAATATGATTTTGAGACCCGTTCCAGGTATTACCGTATTAGAAAATATAGTACCTAACGTTTGTCCAATCGCTTGGGTCGAGGAGGTAAAATATTTTCAAAATATTTTTTCAATTATTGAAGTGATATTTTTAGGGAATGCTCGTTCCGGATGATCTACTTAATACTTTCAAGACTCTTTTACATGTCGCTTTAACCGCTGTTGATGTCATCAAATGGTTAATTACCGCTATTGGTGCTTGTTTATTAGTTGGATGTGGTGGTCGGTATTATTATAAATTAAAAAAATATGGACCAAAAGAGTAAGAATGAAAAAGTTACGATTAAATTAATGTAATTTTTTTATTTAAATTGGTCTTATTGAATAAAGATTGGTATTTTATATTTTTACTACTTTAATTATTATAATAAATTGAAAAGTATTATGTGAATATATTTAATATTCATTACACAAATAAGATTTTGACATAGGGCTTAGATTTTAGAGAAAGCATTTTGGAGAAGATAGGTAACCAAATATACATAGCGTATATTTGTGTAGCCTTGCCTAGAAATATATGAATTATAAGAAGGTACTTTATTTTAATAGCACACCAAATATTATTACTAAACTTGAAAAAAGAATATGAATTACATTACTTTTTTGATACATCATATTTATAATATACAAAAAAAGTCTTAAAAAATATCAAAAATAATTGCTACTTGCAATATATTTTGAATTATTAAATTTATTTATTTACTTCCTCAATGTCATCATCTTTTTCATCTTCTTCATCACTGCTGTCCTCTTGTAATCTTATTATAACAAGAGTGATCACTGAGTGTCACTTGACGCAGTGCCTGAGACCACGTTGAAAGGACTCTATCTTCACCATATCCATCTCTGCCTATATGTTTATTATAAAGTTTGTATTTCGCCCAAATCAGTGCAATTGGATTCAATTGACAATGATAGGGAGTCAACCGAAGTGACTTTGTGGGCCCCATTCATTGGCAAGTTCATCAATTTCAGAAACTTTTTTGTTGGATGAAACTTTTCTGCATTTAATAAGGTTGGATGATAAGTAACATTTTTTTATTTTTAAAGGCTCAAATAATCCTTCCAACTAGCTCTTGCTTACGCCAATTTAAACAGACAATTTATTACGTCTACGACTGAAACTGCGCTGTTACCTTCCTCAGACCTTGTTTTATTGCTTCTTTGTATATTTAGAACGTAGTTTTTTTTTGAAGTTATAAGAATCGCTTTAAAGCTGTGAAATGGGGTCCTTTTTATCCAGTCGCGCGTTGAATCATACATGAGATAGACCGCTCGACAAAATTCTTCATCGTTCTATGAAAACTGCTTTTTTTTAAATTTGATTATGACACAGCCAGTACAAGATAAAAGTTTCGACACCGACGGGCAAAACGACGACATCCCAATGGGGTCTTATATGAGTGACCACAATCATGGGCGTGATGGTAACCAATAAAAAAGAGGTGTTCCTTCCAAAAATGTAAGGACTAAGAGTTATAATTTAGTATTAATAGACCTGGGCCTAGAGCAGACGTAAAAAATTTCTTGACGCCATTAGACGTTTCGAATTGCATGATCTCTAATAACTTATTAGATTTGACAGTAAACGTGATGGATTACTGCATTACGCTAGAGTAATCAAATGAGCACATTTAAATACGCATGATTTATGGTCAAAAGATGGTTACGGAAGATGAACAGGTCCAGTTCATCTTCTGTGTTCGGGAAAAGATTTTTGTTTCTGCTAAGACGTCTTCGGTTTGATGATGTTAGAGATCGGACTGAAACAAGAAAGATAAGTTGCTACCTCTCCGAGAAATTCTTTCAAGGTTACTTTCTCACTTTCAAGATTAAATGTTTTTACTTTGTGACTTCTTTGGCACGCTAAACATTGTAGCTAATGTATTAATAATAATCCAACAAAAAAATGTGTATAGGAGAGATTTCCTAAAATCCTTTGCTATGAAGTTAGAGCAACATTTACAATATAGACAAACAATTGTAACACTCTCATCGGAAGTAAAAACGCTTTTAAAATTAATATGTCCAAAGGCTGTGATTGAAGAAGAGATACCACCAAAACATCCAAAGATAGCATCAAGTAAATGTCAAGACCGTCCGTCTGGGATGGATTTCAAAACTAAAACCGAATGCAAAAAATGCAACAAATTATCAGTATGTGCCATCAGTACGTGAAAAGTGAAAGCAGCAACTAAAAAGTACTGTTATATTTATGTATTTTACGCCATATCTATTATACAGGATGTTTACAAAATTGTCGGATAATGTGCAGCCGGTACGATATTTGTTAAGCCAAATTTCTTGGAAAACTACTACGTCAGATTCTTGGAATCTATAACATCGGACACCCGGAAGTCGTTGGCGGCGGCATAGCAAGTGGGCGTTTATACTTGCAATGAGCGTTTATATATCGTGAATGGTTTAAAGGTACGCTACTGCTTGCAAATATCAAGCCGTGATTAACCGTTGCTTTCTGAGAATAGAACGTCATTGATTTTTTCCTTTCTGGGAATTATGGCTCAAACAAATATCGTACCGACTGTACACGTAGCGACATTCTTCGTTCGATTCTAAAGCGAAAATCATAATTTTAAAATGTTGTACCATGCTCCATACTTCTTCATGAGGTTCTCAAAGTTCGGATAATTTGTCCATAAATAATCGTTAATATTCAATATCTGTTGATAAATATACTGTAATTTAGAATAAAAAGAATTTTGAAAACTAATTTTTTGTTAAAGTTATTTTCTTTAGTTTTAAAATAAATCATGAAAAACACATTTGGCAACATAGTAGAACAACATTTTAACATTAAGATTTTCGATTCTAAATATCCTGTATACTCGGGTTAATAAACAGTTCTAAAATAACTGTCCATATATATCAAATGGGTAAAAAATACCTATTGCGTTAAGCCAGGCAGCTTTTCCTATAGTCTTAAGAGATATGATGCATTTATAAAGAAATAATAGTATTAATAATGCAAGGTGATACTTTCTTTTCAAGGACATCTTACGGAACTTTAATTTAATCACACTGTACTCGTTGTACATATTTTAGATTTTCACTTTTACTTTTTCGCGTGTACATTTTCTATGCACAGCAGACGTATTCATTAGAAACCATGTTACTCTCACGCAAGTCAACTTATGGGCATAATATCTGTAGCGTATGCATAAATTAATAACGGAAATCGATTAGTCAATCGCGTTGCTCATGGTATAGTATATAACATATTCAAGGAAAATTATGTATAGAGTAGTAAATTATAGTGAGTAATATGAAGAGTGAAAGGTAAAGTGTAGTGGAACTCCATCGCTACCCTGCAGTTTTATTTTCAGATAACTATTATTGCACTTTTTACTAATAACACTGTTTACATATAATCTGGTGTTGAGGAACATATATTTCAGGATACCAGGATCTTGGCCATCACAACTAAATGTAATCAAAACATTATTTCCTAAAAATTAAGCATTTTAGAAATGTTGATTTACTGTCTCTACATTTTTCAATGTTATTGACCCTAAATTGTAACTACAACGTAATTGATGTAACAAGTTATAGATTGCTATCGTCAAAACTGTGGTGCAAAAATCATAAGACAGGATAAAACATTAAACAGTGGTTAGTAGCAACAGGTGGTTTTATTACCGAAAATAGGGAATACGTTATCCTATAAAAATAGTAAATTCTTGAATCCCAAGTACAAGCCTTCGATTTGCATCGTTACAAACATTATTCCAAAAGGATACAATTCATAAATTATTAACGAGGACTAGTTTGTTCAAGTTCTACATGATGGAATGAAAGAGATTCGAGTCAGATTTTGTAGATGTTTAATGCATTCCGTAAATAATTAACCACATTTTATTGAAAACATTCTTTGCAATGATGAATCCAAATTTACTCATTGTAAGGCAAGTATCCTAAATAGTCATTAACCTGCACGAATGAAAAATGAAAACGTACATTTAATACGCAAAAGGTCCCGCCAAAGACGATGGTCAATAAATATCGGGGCTAGATTATTACAATATCGTTGGGTTGGGTTGGGTTGGTTTCTACCTGAGCGCATTAATTTTAATTTGTATCTTCCTTGATAATATTACATCAGTAAACGGATTTAAGTATTGTCTCAAATATAACGGATCACCGGCATATTATGGACTACCAGATAATAATTTTCTAAAAAGTTTCTCGAAAGATGGATTAAAAGAGGGGGATCTATAATATCGGCTCACAGATATATTATTAGAAATATGTGAAATACTATACTCTACACGACCTTAATTTGCATTTAAGGATATCAAAAATAAAACCGAATGCGAAAAATGCAACAAATTATCAATATGTGCCATCAGTACGTGAAAAGTGAAAGCAGCAACTAAAAAGTACTGTTATATTTATGTGTTTTACGCCATATCTATTATACAGGGTGTTTAGAAATTGGCGGATAATGTACACATAGCGACATTCTTCGTTCGATTCTAAAGCGAAAATCGTAATTTTAAAATGTTGTACCATGCTTCATACTTCTTCATGAGGTTCTCGAACTTCGGATAATTTGTCCATAAATAATCGTTAATATTCAATATCTGTTGATAAATATACTGTAATTTAGAATAAAAAGAATTATGAAAACTAGTTTTTTGTTAAAGTTATTTTCTTTAGCTTTAAAATAAATCATGAAAACACATTTGGCAACATAGTAGAACATTTTAACCTTAGCTACCGTTCCTTGTAGCACTATCTTGTGTAAACCAGAGATTAAGTATCAGATTTCCTTATGCTACTTTGTCATAATAATTCTATATAAAAAATTTAAAGTCATTTCTGATTTCAGCGACCTTTTTCGCTTCAGTCCAGGTTATATCTTTCTTCTTTATTATTTTTCCTATTATGTTGTTCCAAGTTTCCTACCTTTTTTCCATGATGCATAATATTCTTTTTACATATGCTGTGTTGTTTCGGTTTCGGAGATCCCCACCACCCTGTACATATATATTGTCTACATCGACGCTAGTCTTTCGACCACTATAAACTTCTATTTTTGTTTGTGTTCACACTTATTTCATATATATGAGTCATTTACTCATCGCATAAATTCACAAAATTTATCTTCGAAAACTGTTGATCTGATGCTTGAATAGGATCAAGAGCATCAGTATCGATTTATTCACACTTTCAATCTAAATTATTTATTTTAGCCGATGTAATCTTGACTTGTTCATGCTTACACATCAAAAAAAATGTTTCAAAT